AATACAGCAGTCTCAAAGAGAAGGGGTGAGGGGTGAAGAAGAAAGAGAGAAGGAAAGAAAGAAAAAAGAATTATATATATATATTTAGAAGAAAATGATGTAGCACCAGCCAAAATAAGACTCAATACCGTATTCTCCACTCACAAAAAAGAGGGAGAGAAAAAAGAGAAACAAACCCCCACCCCCCAGAAAAAAACAATAATAATATTAGGAAAGTCTGTGGCTTAATGTAGGTATGACTTTACTGTCCTAACTCTCTTTCATTCACTCTGCGCTCCTCTCCTGGTTGTTTGGCGCTGTCGGGTCAATCGACCCATAATGGCCCTGTATAGGGTTTCTGAGGAGCGGCTGGTGAGCTTGAACCACCAGCCCTGCAGTTCAAGAGGCTCTGTAGTGGCACCCCAGCCCTCCAAACCACGCTGGGACTCCTGCTAAATCGGCTATAAAAGGGAGACCTAGATAGGGTTCCTGAGGAGCAGCTGGTGAGCTTGAACCACCAATCTTTCGGTTCATAAGGCTCTGTAGTATGCCGTCTCAACCCTCAGAGCCACGCCACGGTTCCTGCTAGACCAGCGCAAGAAGCAGACCCAGATAGGTGCACTTCTGTGTCTCAGCCTAGGCTGAGTGCGCGGCGTCCTGAGGATTGGCTGGTGGGAGTGAATCACCGCCCTTGCAGTTCAATAAGCTTTGCAGCAGGGTGGGTCCCACAGGGGTTCTGAGGCGGAGGGAATAATCCTGTGGGGGAGCCTGGTGGGCCTGGTGGGCAGGGTTGGGTCGCGAGCGATCAGTCAGGCGGTGCGGGGCTAGTGGTGGGTCCCGTGGGCAGGGCGGTGCTCAAGCTGAGGTGCTGCAAGCAGTGCGGGGTGGAGGGGGGGTTTGGGTGGCCCCAGCAGGGCTCTAGCTTGTTATTTCGCATGGGCGGGGTCAGCGGAGTGTGTGTGCGCACTCCGAAGGCTAGGGCATGCTCTGGTGGGTGTTTCAGGTCTGGTCCAGGTCTGGGGAAGGCGGAGGTGTGGGTGAGAGGCCTCTTGGCTGTGCAAACACAGTCCTTGCCTGATGACGTCAGTCAGGTGCGGATTTTTTGTCCCCCCCTCTTTTTTTTTTTTGTTCCCCTCCTGTCTTTGTTGCCTGCCCACTCTCTGCCCACTGCAAGCGCCAAAATTACACGGTGGGGCAGATGAACCTCACTTTCTCTTACCCCTGTCCAATAATTACTGAAAGTGCCGCTTTCAGCGCGAGTTGGTTCTAGCCTCACCCCCCAAGCTGAGAGGCGTTGGGGCTGTGCCACACACAGCCAGCAGCGAGTACAAGCTTAAAAAGCTAGGAGTTCCTCAGTACGGTGATTTTTAAAAAAGGCTAGT